GCTTAACTGTAGCGGCTAATAAAAATGGCAAAGACTTAACCCCGAACGCAACTGTAGTGTTCCGAAAAATCTTAATCTCACTTGGCGGCATCTGATCAAACCAAAGAAAGCGCTGACAATCTCTATCGTTTTTATTTAAACAAATGCGCAAAAACGCTTTCTCAATATCTGCTATAATTCCAATAAAATTCTGGCGAAACTGCAAAAGAAGATTTAACAAATTAGGGTTAAGATTTGGACCTGCCTCTAAATTATCATTCAATGAATAACAATTTTTGTCTTTAGAAGATGCATCGAATACAATGCGTAGTTTTGCACGCGATTCCTCTTTATCCCTTCTGATAACTGGATGATGAGGCATGTAATACATATGGTCTGACGAAATCCCTTTCTCAATAGTAATAGGTTCAATTACACCCGATTTTAACTGTTCTCTAAACACTTCATTATTTTCCTGAAAGAGAGCCTGATCTTTCTCAAAACGGGTAGTCAAACTCCAGAGCCTCCTCTTAGCATTCGAAAAATTATCAGAAAGATTCATGTTTTCCCTAAAAGGCAACCTAACCACATATTTTCCATTTTAAAATTTTATTTCATTTTCAAAGCGTCGCAAAATTTCCATATCATCAGTTAAAATGTTATTATCATCCTTCCCAATAAACAAATTATCCATTTCCCAAAGTTTCCTTAAATTAGCATTTAAATCACCATCTGAATTCGTAACATTTTTTCTTTCCGAAATACAAACGTTAACTGATTGAGTTCTTAAATTCATAGATTGCGTAACTCCACTAATACAATAACCGAATAAAGTTTCAATACAATAAAGCCCTTTAGAAAATTCTAATTTATTTCCGGTATAAAATTTCCACATTAAATCGCATCCCAATAAAATGTGAATTTTCTCTTTTCCCTCAAAAGAAAACAATTCTTCAGATGATAAATTTAATTCCTTTAACATTCTTTTAATCATATCATTCGGAGCCTGCACGTGGCAATGAGAAATACAATCAGTAATAAATAATTCTACTTTCGCGCATCTGCTTGGATTATTTATATGAGATAGGTTAACTGTCGTGACCCCGAAATCTTTTTGAATTGGGTTATTTCCAAATGTATATACTTCTAATCGCTCAGTTCGAGAAATCAATAAATTAAGACTATCTGCTAATTCCTTCGTAATCATAAAGCATTAAAATATTTTTAGAAAAGACATCCAGGATGGCGATGTCCCGAGCAAACCGGATAATTGGTTCTCTACTGTATATCAAGAGGAAAAACAATTACTGCTCTCTTATATAAATTATATTGTGTTAACTATACTAGTTTTAAATGCTATAAAAACTTTCCTCAATTAAAAAAAAACTTTTAATTGAGAAAAAAAAAACAGCTGAACATCCCTAAATAATGCTAGAAATGAAATAGTTTAGTATAGTTCAGTGTTTTCACTACAGCGTGAAAACGCGAGAATCTCACAATTTTTTTTCTTTTCTCGGATTAAAAAAAAGATTAACGTGAGAAGTTTGTGCACTCTATTAATCAATTTCAAAATGAGCGAATTTTGGAAAAAATTTTGTCTTTTGTCGTTTTGAATAAAATCCGTTTCACTTTTCTTCCTAGATCTTTCATTATTTTGAACATCGGTCATTGTTATCTAGCTTCCCTATTTACCAGTATTGGTCAGAACAGGTGCGAACCACGGAACCCCTTTCAGAACACATTTCTCTGCAACCAGGTGTTCACTGTAGGTAAGGTTTCTTCATGTAAGACGTTTACATTTCTTGTGCATGAATGTAAGATGGACAAATACTTGTTAAGGCGACATCTACTCTGTAACGGACAAATGAAAATGAAACAAATGTCAGTAGAAATGGTCAAAACGAAACAAATACAGATATTTTTCAGTCAAATAAATATAATAGCTGATGAAGAAGTAGATACAGAACATTTTCCAAATGAATCCTCCCCCCCTGAACCCCTTTCAGAACACATTTCTCTGCAACCATGTGTTCACTGTAGGTAAGGTTTCTTCATGCAAGATGTTTACATTTTTTGTGCATGAATGTAAGATGGACAAATACCTTGTTAAGGCCTACTCTGTAACGGACAAATGAAAATGAAACAAATGTCAGTAGAAATGGTCAAAACAAAACAAATACGGATATTTTTCAGTCAAATAAATATAATAGCTGATGAAAAAGTAGATACAGAACATTTTCCAAATGAACACTCCCCTCCCCCGAACCCCTTTCAGAACACATTTCTCTGCAACCACGCGTTCATTGTAGGTAAGGTTTCTTTATGCAAGACGTTTACATTTCTTGTGCATGAATGTAAGATGGACAAATAACTTGTTAAGGGGACATCTTCTACTCCATAATGGACAAATGAAAATGAAACAAATGTCAGTAGAAACGGTCAAAACGAAACAAATATGGATATTTTTCAGTCAAATAAATATAATA